ATGATTTTTCCATGCACATATAGATTGCATATTTATTTTTAAAACCCATCAAACAATTATACTCTCCTATATAAGACTTAATCTATCATGAGGTGTTCGTGTGATCTTTTCGATCAACCCTTGATGTCAAATATACCATGTATACCCTTCCTTGCAAACAACATGCAACCTTACATTGTTATTTCTTTGAAATTTTATATCAGCCCTATTCTTAATCTCATATTGTCTGACAGTCTCTTTCAACATCAACTTATCATAAAAAATCATCCTAACTTTAAACTGTGGGTTTTTCATTTTAACCTCACTGTTAAACTCAAGACATCTATGTATTATTCGACTACTTAAATCACCTGATTCAAAGTCAAATTCACTTATACTATGTAATGACTCTACTTCATTAGTCTCATTTTCATCATTCAAAGGCACATCAACCTCACCCTAATCTCTATTGTTTAACTCATTAAAATCTCTCTCAAACTCTACTTCCACATGTACATCATGTACAAATCCTTTTTCATCACTCGCATCATTTTCACTATACTCAAAATCACTAACAGAAGAATAAATGTCATTGATAACATATTTTGTATTTTCTTCAAAGCCGAACTTAGTCCTAAATGTTTCATTATTTTTTTGAGTTTTAGTAATAATAGTTTAAAGTTGTTCTTTTTAGAATAGTTTCAGTGATTTTTGTCCTAAAATCTGCTTCATTTTCTTTTAAGTAAAAATAAATTTACCTAGTTTGAGGCATATCTTCTAACATAATAAGAATATCACATTATGTTTTTAGTAGTTTAACAGTGAAGTTCACCCAGGTTGTCTCTAATACAATTTCCACAAACCATAATGCCCTAACTCTTTCACAATATCAAACATTTCAAGTATTAACATTCTATCCACATGACATATATAAAAAAACACTTACATTCTTATTGGTGTACTTAAAATCAAATGAGTTTACCATAAATCACCATGGTACATGTCAATTCTAAAATAGTCAAACGATGTACTTATAGAAAATTATAAAAAGAATATTTTTTAAAAACATAGTATATCATCTACTTTATTAATACTTTTTTTTCAAATCATGTTCACCTCATCCAACTTTTAGAATAATGGTGACAAAACATAAAACTCAGTAGATGTGCCACCATTGTTGACAATATTTAAAACAATATTTAAAAAAATAAAAGTTGGATCACCATTGATGACAACTTTAAAATAATGAATGCACAAACATTAATATGATCTACATACAAAAATAATCAAAATCAAGAATCATAAAAATCATATTAGATGCAATAACTGACCATAAAAAGTATAAAAATAATCAACAAACAACAACATATATGCATTCAAGTAGTGTAAAATAAGACAGAAATAGGGTACCATATGCAACGTAATCACAAGACAGAAAAAATAAATAAATAGAAAACAACAAATATAGTAAAGTGGGAATGCAATAAACTATAGTTAGCTGATAAGAAAACAACAAAACTAAATAAAAATAAGAAAACAACAAATCTTTAGAACAAATTTACAAAAATCCTAAAAATATTCAAAACAAATTTAAATCGTATAAACCTATTCATTTTTGGAACATTATCATATTTGATACTCATCATTCCTTTAGATCGTAGTAATCGTTTCTTCATTTTGATTTGCAGTGAAAGGTGAAACAAAAGAATTTTTTAGAGACAAAGAACATTTTACATATAAAAAGATAGATTTTGGGATTTTGTTTCACGTCTGATGGATTTTGATTCATTTGATGGGTTTTGAGAAATATTACGGAGGATTTAATTTTGTTTTCAGAATAATAAAATATTAAATGAATAGTTAAATGTGTTCTGGGAATAATAAGAGTCATTTAGGGAATAAAGAGTGTCATTAATAAAATTACTTCATTTTAATGAAAGCGTCCAAGTCATCACCATCACGGATAACCTTTAATTCATTAACGGTGAGGTGACACAATTGCGGTTAAACATAAACATTAGTGTTAAAATTGATAAAATTAAGAGGTAAGTGGCATAAATATGTCATAGCTTAAAGTTGAATGATATTCGATGTAGTTTACCCTATTAAAAATATTATCAACCATAGACTAAGTATTAAATTTGACTCAATGATTTGACCTCGCTATATCCATGACCCAAATTCCATTAAAATGCATTTTTCGAAGATATTTCATTAATTAAATAACCTATACATAAAATGTTATCAATCATTAATCAAGGATTGGACTTTGCTTAATGATATGATGATTACAAATAAGATGATGGTACGCATTCTAATTGTAAGATTAAATTTATAATTAAAATTAAGATCAAATTGATTAAATGTGTAAATATAGAGTATCAAATGTGTTATTATCTTAGTTATGATCAAATTGATAGAATTTATAAGTAATGAGAACTAAATATGGAATTATATAAATTGCTATCACGCCAACTATACTGTTAACAATTTATGGTTCGCTTGATTGAGATGACTAATTTTTTTTTAATTCAATAGTCAAATAGTCACTCAATAGTTTAGTGTCCTTGAGAGTAATTTACCCTTATTTTAATTAATTTTACAAATAAAAGAAATTGACCCATTACATTACAAACTGTGGAATGGGGTTTACACCAATAATACGTGTAATATTGTAGAATGTCACAAGAGACATAACCACTACACTCTTATTCTGTTAACAATTTAACCTAAATTAAAACTTAGTGTTATTTTTTAAGCACTCATAACAATTGTTAGTTATTTGAGGGTTGCTTCTCAGTTTTTCACAAGGTGCGCAGATAAAATTATGATAAATGGACGAAAAAGAAATAAATTCAGAGTTTTTTAAAAGTAGAGAAATTAAATGCATCCCCATAATGGTTGAGAATACTACTTTTGCTGCCATTATAACATGGAGGCCATGGGACATTACAAATAGAAGCAATTCTTCTAGCATTGCTGAGTTAGATATAGGTCCGTAATGTATCATCAAAGGCATGGCTGCTGCAACAAGCGGCTGACGGAGCCACAATCGACGACATGAGTGTCGATGTGCAGGGGCTAAGCTCTCGGGTATCTCATATCACTGCCAGCACTACATGGCAACATCTTTGTTTTCCTACACAAACAAGGCAACTAAGTTTAATGGTAGTGTGGCATTCATTTATAAGAGTAGGGATTTATAACTGTCATTGTTAAAATTTTTAAATTCGAATATAATTATTGATTTGATTTATAATTATAAATTATATTTAAAAAGCGAGTAATTGTGAATTTGATGAGGTGGATTCCACCATTTATAATTTTTTTGAGGGTCGCGCTACTACTTAAGAAATAGACACGTGGAGAAGGAATCATAATTATAGTAGATTTGATCAATAAATATTGTCCCACGCTATCTCTAGCGTGAAACTAGAGGTGCTCGCGGTCAATTAACTGTACAATTAGTTTAATCAGTCTGATTAAATATTATAACGATTATTAAATTTTACTAATTATAACCTCACCATTAAAAAATGGTTAATTGTTACATAGGACTTATTACAATTTTTTTTTTCATATTTTTACTCAATTTAAAAAAAAAAAATTTTGACACTACGTAGTACTTTATACACATACATATCACATTTGCATATTTTTAGATTAGTTTAAAGTTCCAACATACACAAAATACGTAATTAATAATTAATTAACTAAACTATTAATTTCTAAAAAAACAATAACAAAAATACAATCAATTAAATTATTAATTAACTAAACTATTAATAATTATTAAATTATCAATTAAATACTAATTTTTCAATAGATAATAAGTAAGATGCAAAATTAATAATTATTAATTAACTAAACTATTAATTTCTAAAAAAACAATAACAAAAATATTAAATTATTAATTAATAATTATCAATTAACTGCACCCAAAAATCAAACCGAGTGCATTATCAAATACGATCAATAATTAATTACCATTCAACAACTTTTTAAATTATATAAAGATTTCTGATTTGAAGATTCTATTTCTAAATTATTTGGTAATTAATGATTATTTAAGAAAGTTGTTGAATGATAATTAATGATTGGTCCTATTTGTTTTAAATTATTAATTATTAATTAATAATTATCAATTAATGATTGTTCGTATTTATTTTAAATTGGCAACTACTGTTATTAGTTTAAATTATATAATACAAAAGATCTAAACTTTTAGACTTGGAAAAGCTGAGTGCACTTGGAATTGAAGAGTCACCATTTAGGAGGGGAAAAAATTAGGTATTAATATCAGGTAAGATGGTGTCACCTGTCTTATTATTGTCTAACAAGCCAACATGTAGACAAAGAATCAACATTATAATAAGATTTGATCAATAAATATGCCTTTACTTGGGACCTCTAGTGTACAAGTCTAGATTTGATTACTAAAGAAAGCAAAGTAATTTTTAATTAACAAATTTAAAACTTATTGAATTAGTATCATGAAATTAAATTATTTAATTTAAAAATAAAAATAATTTCTTATTAATATAATAATAAATATAATTATCGATATCTACATAAACATATAAATTTGTATCGATTGATTGACTTAAAGTGAATTCCCAGCGAATGCAGTAGCAAAAATTAACAACGAATGCTCGCATCAAACTCCTTCCACCATCGTATCTTCGTGATCTTTTATCTACGGAATATATGAAAGAACTTAACACAACTATAATCTTAATTAGTGTTCTTTTTCTTTTAAAAAATTTCCATGAATTTTGTTTTAAAAAAAGTAAGAAGAAATTGTCCTTGAATTGTCGCTTCTCAAATATGATTAATCAATACTAAAATAATGAAAACATGAAAAGATTAGCTATATATCCACAAGTATGATTAATCAATACTAAAATAATAAAAAGGTAAAATATTTCCATAATTTTCTCTAATTATTGTTTTATTTATTTATTGTTAAACATGATTCATTTATTTAGGGCAGAACTTTCGGTGCCTCTAGATAGTACGTGCACTAATCAAGCTACGCTTCAACATCGGGGATATGGGACTCTACAAGTAGAAGCAATCCTTTTAGTGTTGGGGTTGTCGACAAAGTGTTTAAGAGGGGGGTTCCTAATGTACCCACAAAGGCAAGGCCGCTGCTCGTTCAGCTTGCTGCAACAGGATATCGACGGAGCCACCGGAGATGTCAATGCTGATATGCAGGGGCTAAGCTGTTGGGGATCACATATTGCTGCCTCCGTCACGCGAGTAAACAGCAACACCGCCAGTGCAGCCACGCACAAAGCAACTAACGAAACCCTCTTCATCTTTGGTTTCTTTCCTACAACAAGGTGGTAATTCTAAGAAAACAATGACGTTTAAATGTACTCGGTGCATGAGTTGTGCCACAATTTATAGACTTGTGGTTGGTAATTTCTGATGTTTCATCAAGATTTATGGACGTTAAACTGTCATTACCAATGAGATTTGGAGGAATTGTAAAGGTTGAGTTGTGGCGCATTGGTATACAATTTATTTTTAGTTTAATTATTCGAAATTGTCAATGAATATGATGAAAAACTTTGAAAAAGTTGGGAATGGAATTGAAGAGGCAGATTCCCACCATTTTAGAAATGGTAACGTGTATTTGTAAGATGGTGGCACCTGTCTTGTTCTTATGCAAGAAATCAAACTCATTGTTTCCCTCACCAAAAGCAAGTCCAAACATCATATTAAGCATATAACAACCCATTCTTAATGCACATAAAAATATGTGTAAAAATGAATATAACATTAATTATAACATAAAAATTACAATACTTGCAACACTTATCATCGTTATACAGTATTTAGACGCGTGGAGTTTAAATACACGTCCACTTGCACTTGCATAGTATTTCAGTGTACTGTGCCACTAAACCTAATAGCATATTTACTCAGCTTTGTGACTAAGAATGAGGAGATGCCAGCTCTCTCCTTATGTTCCTTAATTATAGCTGATAACCGTTCTAAAAATTAACCCTTTTCTCTGTATTTCCTCTCAAGCGCCGCCCAACGCTTTCTTGTTTGGGAGAGGAATCTATCTAGCCTTCATCTCCATTCAAGTGGAGTTGCGAAGCAAGATCTGTTTAAAATATAAATTGCAAAATCACACTATTAACACTGACAAGACAAATAAAAATATTGAACAAATAAACAACCAAATTCGTATCGTGGTGAAAACCACTGCTTTAGAAATAAATTCGCTCCGATGTGTGTAATCGGTGCAATAGGCGGATCATCTCCAAAAGTTAACACGGTCGTTTCGAGAATTTGTACACCCGAAATCAAAGTGGATTGCCGGTGATACTGCTCTTCTGATAGCAGTAGAGAAAAGAAGCTTTGAAATGCTTTAGGTCGAGAGGATATGTGAGAGTTGAGAGTATGTTGACAAGCTTGGAAAACGAGATTGTCCCTGTTCTTTCCTAAAAAAGGAAGGAAGAATTAACCTATAAATACCCAATCGTTATTTTCCACATAGGGATATGTTTACGCACCAATCCCACAATGCGAAAGAATTCTTCTGAATCGAAAAATAATCTTCTCATAAAGCAATAGAGAATTCGTTGCTTAAGTACTAGTGAACGTATCTTGAACTAGTACATAATGGTGATGAGCAATCCTTCTCTTATATAAGTGAAATAGTCTTGAACTTTCTAAGATAAGGGTAAACTCAAACACAACTACCCCTTCATCCACCGAAGTGCTCGATGTGTAAGATATATACACACAAGTGTATATTTGGACATCTTACCTTAGGATTCTAGTAAGTGTATTACAAAAATGGCCCAATATTTTTCATAAAAGGTGGCTAATCCTTCTCACTTACGTAGGTTATTTCATCAGGTTTATCTCAACATAAACCACCCTAAAATTGGGCTATGAAAATAATTAAGAGCCTTTCACAATAGCTCAACCCCTCAAAGATTATGGTGATTTTCTTCAAGTTCATTATAAATGAACCACCCATACTTTGGGATCAGAAATCATTAAGAATAAATATTCATCCTAATTAATAGGTGAATTCAATAAGTCCTTCTCAGTAAGACCATCCAAACTATTGGATTTGAATTCATTAAGAATTTTCATAAAACTTAACCTTTCTAGAGGTAAGTTCAACTTGTCATTCTCAGTTTGGACTACCCACTCAACTCTGGGTTATGAACTCATTAAAAATAGATATTCAACCAAAATTGGTAAAATCATCAAGTTTTCTCACTGAGGCACCCAAAATTTGGGCTATGAATTTATTAAGAGAAATCAAGCTCATCGTGTGCATGCACATTGTTCGCCATAGGGATAGGTAGGTAAAAATGTACACTATGAATCTTTTCATGGTTTCATTTGACCACATTAAATTTATAAAACTAAGTTGGGGACCCATCATGAATTCCTCAAACAATGGGCTTTAAATCCATCCCCTTTGACGAATCTAGGATGAGTTTCCTTATTAACCCTTTCGTAAGCAGATCTGCTAGGTTCGTTTCCTACTTCTCATATTCTAAAGAGAGTATTCCATTCCTTATTAAGTGTCTGACAAATTCATGTCTAATGAGAATATGCCTCTTCTTACCATTGTAAACTTGGTTTTTGGCCACACATATTGTAACTTGTAAATGGCACAGCAAGGCGACTGGAGGAGTTGGTCTTCCCCACAATGGAATTTCAGCTAATAAGTATCTGAGCCATTCAAATTCTTGGCCAGCCAAGTCAAGAACTATAAATTCTTATTACATAGTGGAACGAGCACTACGGGTTTACTTCCTAGACTTCCACGAGATCGCTGCTCCACTTAAAGTAAACACATACCTGCTTGTAGAGCTCACCTCATCATTGTCAGAAACCCAATTGGCATCACAATATCCTTCTAAAACAATAGGATAGCCAAAAAACTCAAGATTACAATCTATCATACCCTTAAGATACTTGAGTAAGCGTCGAAGAACAATTAATGTTCACCACTTGGATTATGAATATATCTACTAAATCTATGCATAGCATAGGAAATATCAAGCCGAGTATAGTTCATTAAGAACATTAAGCTTCCAATTATTTTAGCATATTCGGTTTGCGAAACACTACTTTTATTATTTTTAAAGAGATGTATGCTAGGTTCATAAGGAGTTCTCACAGCAAAATCGTCAAATTTCTTTAACACTTTCTTAATGTAGTGTGTTTGATTTAAAGAAAAACTCTTTTCAGTTTTGGTAACTTTGACCCCTAAGATCACATCGACTTCTCCCAAATCAGTCATCCCAAATTTAGTAGATAAGAAATTCTTTTTTTTGTTAATGGACTCAATGTTAGTACTAAAAATCAACATGTCATTCACATATAAACTTATGATGATGAAATCAGTACCAAACATCCTCGAATACACGCATGTATATGAACCATTCAAAACAAAACAAAAACTTAGTAAAGTTTTGTGAAATTTCTCCTACCACTATTTAGGAGCTTGCTTCAAGCCATAAAGTGACTTTTTCAGCCTACACACTTTGCCTTCCATGCTAGATGGCTCGAAGCCATATGGTTGCTTCATATAGATCTCCTCATCTAGATTTCCATTAAAAATGCAGTCTTTATCCATTTGATGTACTTGCAACTTGTGAATGGAGTCTAGTGCAAATAATGCACGAATCGTTGAGATTTTTTGTCATAGGGGAATAGGTATCGAAGTACTCTAAGTCAAACTTTTGAGTGAACCCTTTGACAACTAACCTTGCCTTGTACTACTGGATCGAACCATTTGGTCTGACTTTATTCTGGAATACCCATTTTTTGCTAATATGTTTAAATTCTCTAGGAAACTCGACCAATTCCCAAGTATGATTAGATATTATTGATTCTAATTCATCACTAATAGCGTTTTTCCAAAAACTAGAATCAATAGATCTTATAGTTTCCTCAAAAGTCTTAGGATCCTTGTCTAACAGAAAAATGTGAGCTATAGGATCATATGTTGAGTCTACATCATTTATCTCATAAATAAAGGAAGTGATAAAGTCTAGTCTAAAAGATGGTTCAGTTATTTATCTTTTACTTCTTCTAGGTTCAAATTGAATCTCTTGAAAACCATTAGCAGGTGCACTAGAAGAATGGGATGGTAGTTTTTCTATTTATGTTTCCTCATTTAATCTAGGTTTCTTTAGTAGAAGAATATTTTCAAAGAAAACAACATCCCTAGATTTACAAATAGAGTAGGCTTGTAAACACATGAACCTGTAAGAAGAACTGTTTGTAGTATACCCTATAAACACTGTATCAACGATTTTAGGATCGATGGTAGACTTCTTAAAGTACGAAAATCCCACTTTAGCTAGGCACCCCACACTTTCAGGTATTGCAGATTTGTAGAGTAATCTTTCCACAATTCATATGGAGTATAATCTAATTTCTTGTGATGTACTCGGTTCAAAATGTGATTATTCGATAAAATGGCTTCCCTCACATGTTATCACCTAACCCAGAACTTATCAACAACGAATTCATCATCTATTTTAAATTTCTGTTTTTCCTCTCTACTATATCGTTCTGTTGAGGAAAGTAGGGAGCCAAAGTTTTGTGAATTATGTTATTCTTCTCACACATCTCTTTGAAGAAATATTATCCATATTCACCACCTCTATTTGATCTAACCCATTTTATTCTCCTATCTAATTTATTCTCAACTTTTACCTTTTAAATAAGAAAAAAGTTCTTAGCCTCATTTTTAGTTCTTAGGAGATATACTTTTATGTATCTCGAATAATCATCTACAAAAGTAATATAATAGAATTTTTCTTCCTTACTTTCAGAGTTTCTAAAGTATACTAGATCAGTATGTATAAGTTCTAACAGTTTAGTCTTTCTCTTGAAAATTGTCTTAAAGTGAGGTTTAGCATGCTTAGCTTCTACACAAATCTCATATTTGTTAAAGCTAGTTATGTCTAGTTTAGGCGGATTATACATTTTTATCAATTTGTTTAAATAATGAATATTCACATGTCCTAAGCTAGCATGCCACATATCAATAGTCTCAACAGTGTAACAGAAGTGGTGGCTTTATTCTCATTAAGTTGAGTTTCTATGACAAATAAACCACCATTAAGAAATCCTTTCCCAACATAATCACCATTTTGGGAAACTACAAGTTTATCTACCTAAAAAACTAAATTAATGTCTTCCTTATTTAAAAGTTCACCCCTTATTAAATTTTTACGTAGGGTAGGTATATACAAAACTTATTTAAGGCTAAAGTTTTACCGAAAGTCAACTTGAGTAAAACCGTACCTTTTCCTAGGACTTCAGAGCTAATAGAGTTCTCAATGTACACATGAT